TAAAAAAGTAAGGGCAGAATCCTAGTAAGGATTCTGCTTTAATAGTATAGATTTATCCTTAGTTTAGAGAGCTTTATAGATTTGAAAGATACCAATGTGAGGCTCCTAGAAGAGTTTGTTAGTTGGTTATAGTCATGGTTGATAGCTCAGTATTAGCTGAGGTTGTTATGCAAAATCTGTTTGACGTATTGATAAGGTGTTCTTGTTGAGTCTAGTGGAGGGCTGTTGTAACTAGTCTACTGATAGTGCAAGGAAGTTTAGCTTTTCCAGACAGACCATACCGGTTAATTAAAATCTTAAGGTTTAAAAGGAATCTAGAGGAATGAGTTGAGTTGATGATCCACTCTAGATTGGTGTAGGATCTTGGTTCGAGCTTTGAAAAGTTTAGGGTGTCCTAGAATTCACATTTTCTCTAGTTTATTCTCTATTCAAGCCTTAAATCAAAGGAGAATCACTTCTGCTTATGATCAGGTATCGGAGATTTGCTAGTATTTTACTTGGACATTAGAGCAAGTGCATCAAGGGGTCATGGGGCAGGGTCACACATTTCCCAAAAAAAAATATATATTATAATACTGATTTTTGGTGAACTCGGATCGCAAAGGTTCTGTCTGCTGAACCGGTTCATGACTCTTTTTGCGGGCTCCACGCCACGTGGCGGCCCGCTATTCGTTCCAATTTTTTTTATTTTTTATTTTTAAAAAATCAAACGCAAGAAAAAATAATAAAAAACTAAAATCTTTAACCCCACTACCGGGTTATTGATGCACTTGCTCTTAGCCTTCAGATCTAGGAACAAGTTCTTCCGAAATCGTAGTAGCTCCGATCTAGTTAATAAATTGGTACCAAACCCAACTCTCATCTTCAGTGGTGAAAAACTATGAACAGTGGAATAATGTAGTAGAAATTATGGGTGGCATCAACATAAAGCTTTATAAGTTTGGCCCAAAATTGTTTCAAAGGTTATACTAGTGCAAGATGTATGTGGTATTTACATAGTTGCAAATAAATATTGTTTTTTTTTTTTTTTTGTCACGAAAAATAAATATTGTTTAATGATGTATTCCATAGGGTTTCCTTAACTTCAAAGGAGCTTTGAAAGAGTTTGGAAAGCATACTTAGCATTCGTTAGATGGAAAATGCATGTTTGCCTGAATGTAGTTTCACACTATTATTCCATTGTAACTCTGGACTAAGTCTAGCTCACTCTTCAAACTTTAGAATAATGTTATTCCAAGATGGTCGGTGCAAACAACACAGCATACTAACATGGAGAGATTTGCTTTGAACTGAGCCAATCCGTGTGAAAAAAATGCATATCGGTTATGGTATTGGGGAATATGTGTTTTTTAAAAGCTCTGGTAAGTATCAAATGTTAAGGCATAATGTTTAAGGCAACACTCTACTGGTCTCAGGTGGGACTTCGAGTTCAGGAAGAACTATCCAACACGTTGCCTCCTTTACCTGATTCTTTGTACTATAGTTGAGAATATGTTGGACTGACCAATTCTTACGTACGCCTTCGTCGTCATGTTTTAGGTATCTTCTGATGACGATAAGATAGAGAACAACAATAAGCTTAGCCAAAAGAAAAAGAAGAAAAACGCAAAGAAGAGAAAAGAAGATAAAAAGAAGAAGAAAAACAAAAGGCATAAGGTTTATCTCCCTCACATCCTTTTTTCCTTATCTCACCTTTCAACTTGCTTTTTGTTACCCCCACGCAATTTTTATAAAGTCTGTTACTTTCTGGATTCCGTCACTCATATCTGCTTGTGGTAAACTTTTAAGTTAGTGGCTATAACATTGAGTGGTTATAACATTACTGATCACAGTTTGATAAAGATGGTTAAGACTAGAGCTGTTTTGTGAGTTTAGTACAAATAGCTTCATTAATCTAATATTTGTATTTTGGTTTAACTTTACTGATTCTGTTTTTTTTTAACCTCTTAGATCACAATTAATTATTATCATGGTGAAGTTCAGTGTAGAAACAGTCTATATAACAGAGCTCATGGGGTTAAGTGCTTGTACTACTTCGAAGGGACAAGAAAAGACACAATATAGTACGAAAAAACTTTTTAAGTTACTCGTTTCTATGATTTACTTAGATTTGATCGTATTTGTTGTCTACGTGGTGATTACCAATCTCTTTCATGTCGTCGCTTTACAATTCATGGATCAAATCTAGTGAGATTTAGTAGCTAACTAGTCAAATTGATTGATTATTGAAAAGCATTTTTGATTTACATTTTATCGTTCGTCTTTTTGTGAACACTAATTCATCATATATCGCGCAAGTAAACATAACAAAAAAAAAGAGAAGTACCAGAAATAAAGGTAAGAAAAAAATGACCCTGGCCGACATTGGTTGATGAGGATATGAATGTTAATGGTCGAAAAGCTGGTATGGTTGGGAGAATAACACAATCTCCAAAAAGCTGCTCACATGTGGCCATTACCTCTCCAAGTCAAAAACTTCACCATGCTTTGTAAGTTTATATAATAAATGCCTCACTTGGCGACAAACAAAAATAACAATGCCTCACTTCACTAACTGATTTTCACTCTTTTGTGAGTGGCTCAAATCATCGATTATACAGTGTCACATCTTTAAGTGGTCCGAACGCAAATCCTCACGTGTCCTTTTTACAGGGGTTTAACTTCACGCACTTAAATGATTCCAAGGCATCTAAAACGAAAACGACAATAAAAACATATGTAATGATGGTATTCTAAATGCTCGAGTGAAATAGATTTCACCCAACTTTGTTCAACTTGTCGTTTAATCTGGTATAGTAGTTGGAGACATATAACTTTATAAGTTGACATAGCCAATAAGTAAAATTCATTGTTTGTGACTTCTCCTGTTCTCCACATACGAAACAAATGTAAAAATCCAAACTCAGGCTAATATCACAAATGTCAGGTGAAAGAAGCCCACAAACTTGAATTACATTTTGACAACACTATGATGACCTTTGTAATACATCATCCAACGCATTAATTTACTATTCAGAAGTGGTAATAATAACTATATGCTTTGTAGTGTGAAGTGACTCTTAAACGTTTGGTGTTGAGTGCGATTCACACTCTTTGCGTGGGCGTGCAAGAAAAATACTTTACGTAGTCTCCTTCTCAACACGTATTTTTATTTGTGCAAATAAAACAAGTTGTTTTTGTCTTCTTTTTGGCGTTCAAGACTATACATATATAGTTTTCATTTGTAAGTATTACTTTCCCTCCATACAAATGAACTTGAGTTTAAGTCAGAATCAAGACAAATTGTAAACAGCTCCAGGGGCCAAGACTATACTTTCTTATTTTATTTTATTTTGACTAAAAAAAAGTTAAACCCAGATTTATTAAAGACACAGACCTAACTCTTGGATGAAGGTACAACCCACGGATAGATCTTTTCCCTGATATTCAAATGGATCGAAAACAATAATCCATATCCGTGTGACCACAAAATGAAATGTTTCTTATTTGCATTTACGATTTCAGAAAGGAATCACTGTTTGCCTAACGCTATCAAAACCAACAAATTTGGTTAAGACATACTTTTAGAAGATAAAAAAATTCAAATGGTAATTCTTTTTTCTTACTCAAAGTTTTCTGTTGTCTTTGAATATTAAATTTTCCTTCTATTATCTTATAGTTATTGCATGCAGATATACATAATTTGTTTAATGGTATATATATCCTTATCTTTTAACCAAAGTGAGTGTAATCTAATGGTGACGGCGTGGTAGTTTTCACAAGGAAGTTGAATCTCATCCTCTTAGTTCAAGATCCTTGTGAAAGGAAGATTTACGTCCGATAAAGATATTATGAAAGGCTGCTTTCGAATCTAGAAAGACTATTAATTAGTTTGTTTGGAATTTTCTTAATTAACAAAGAAGTAACTCTTGTTAAAAACGTTTACAGATAAAATATTACATATATGAAAATCTGTTTGTATATGACCATACTCAACAAACACATCTAGTCAAAAATCTTAGGCGTAAATATAAATATATCAAACTAAGAATATAAGGTGGATACGTCGCAGTCAACATTATTAGCCCACAAAATATAACTCTAATATGCTCGGCCAGTGTAGTAGCGAATAGCGACATTAGTTTTCCCATAGGTAAGTTTACAAAACAACTAGCAGATTGGTTGAGAAACCAAAATGTTAGCATCAAATAATAAATAAGACATTTGATATTTAAAAAAAAAAGAGAGAAAGATATGAGTTGATTTTGACAAAGAAATTGTCTTCTTGTTATATTTGCAACTTGAGCCGACAGAGTTTAATTTATTTGACTTTAGTTTTCTAACCATTACAATTTCCAAACGACCAATTCCCATTTAGAAAAATTTCTACATAAAATATTGCATATGGAGAGATAGATCTATATTTCATAGTTATAATTACGTCACTATCTCTATATATGACTTTTCTCAGTGTGGTGTTTTTTGTGTCGATAGCTAATTACCCAAGTTTGTAAACACATTGTTTTGTAGATCAAAGTCAAAATTCGAGCCCCACCACCTAAAAATTGGTAGAAGTTGCATTCTAATCACTGTCAATGCCTTAGTTGATAAAATATTCGATTTTCTGTTGACATGGATAACTAATCTATATACAGAAGTTTCACTAACATCATTTCTAACTTCCACTTAAATTACCAAAAGTTGAAAATATACTAAAAATTTTAACAAGCAATATTCAATCAAATTTTTAAAATAAAAATACTAGGTTCAGTTTAGTGGTTGAAATTGTAAATTGACGTTCATATAATATATATATATCCACACACCACTCCAAATGTTACATTATTATTAATTTTTTGAAATTTAGTTTCAGAGTAATGTAAATTCTATAATAGTTGAATGTTGATGAAAAATAAGTTAAAGGGATAATAATGTAATACAGTCTATGTTTGGCGCGTATAATAACCACCACCGGCAAATACCCACAAAAAAGGCGACCCACGCATAAAGAAAGATCAACAACACCTCCCCATCCCTTTCCCAGTAAAATTAAAATTAAAATAATAAATAAATAATTCATTACGAATTAACACCCAAAAATATCGGCACAGACGAAAAACAAAAACTGAATTTTAACAGCTTTAACCAAAGAGAGATCATCAAGCGAGCGACTGAGAGAGAGAGAGTGGTGTTCAGACAGAACCAAACCACGATCTGTCTCTGCTTCTTTGTCCCTTTCTTCCTTCTCCAAACAAAAAAAAAAGAAAGAAAGGTCCTTCCCCGTCACACTCCCATTTGATCGGAGCTCAACATTGCTTCAAGACACAGAGAGAAGTTAGTGTGATAAAATGATGGATCGGTACGGTCATGCCGGTGAAGAAGGCTCACGGGCAGATCCATCACCTCCAAGAACCGAAACCGGTTTAGAAGGTAACATTCACATACTAACATTAATGCTTTTGCGATCATTGTTTTTTCAAAAATGCGGCTTTTGTATTGGTAGGTTCGATGTGGCGGTTAGGGCTGAGAGGCGGTGGAGGTGATTCGTTCCCGGAGAGACCTGATGAGCCTGATTGTATTTATTACTTACGTACCGGTGTTTGCGGGTACGGGTCCAGGTGTCGGTTCAATCACCCGCCAAACCGTGCTCCGGTAATAATCTCTCTGTTTCACTCACTCTGTTTTTTTTTTTACAGAGTTTTTGATAAAGTTATTACCTTTTTTTGTCTGCTTCCGTTGTGTTTTCTATCATTTTTTATTATATAAGTTTGATCAGATGCATTGTTGAATCTATACGATCTGATAATCAGTGATCCAAATAATTTGATTTTAATTGGATGTTGTTAGTTTCTTTCTTTTAGGTCTTGGGAGGTCTCAGAACAGAACCTGGAGAGTTTCCAGAGAGAATGGGACAGCCTGTGTGTCAGGTTATCTATACAATTCAAGCAATGCTTAAACTTTCTTTAGTGATTTAGTGTAGCCAAAGTCTCTCACTTGTTATGTTTTTTTTTTCTTTGAGCAGCATTTTATGAGAACAGGAACATGTAAGTTCGGTGCTTCTTGCAAGTATCACCATCCTAGACAAAGAGGAGATTCTGTTAATACATCTCCTGTCTCATTAAACTACATGGGATTTCCATTACGCCCGGTTTGTTCATTCTCTCTCGGTCTTGTCTTTGTTTCTTTTGTTGTGTATTTAAATGTCTCATCTCTCAATGTTTACCTTCCTTCACAGGGTGAGAAAGAATGTTCTTATTACATGAGAACCGGTCAGTGTAAATTCGGTTCCACATGTCGGTTTCACCATCCCCTTCCTCCAGGTGTACAACCTCCATCACAGCAGTTATCAACTGGTCCAGCTAATTATCCATCGTTTCAGTCTCAATCAGGAGCATTTATAGCAAGACCCCAGCTTTTACCAGGCTCATATGTTCAAAACCCTTACGGTACTTACAGCCAAATGGTTCTTCCTCCTCCCGGTATGGTTCCATACTCTGGCTGGAACCCGTACCAGGTAATAATGTTTGAAAACAATCCTACTTTCTTCCTTACCTCTTAGTCTTTACAAAGCCTCATTTCAATTTAGGCTTCTTTAAGTGCAATACCTTCCCATGGAAGTCAACCCTCTTTAGGAACAAGCTCTGTTCCTTATCAATCGGGTCCTTCTTCAAATAAAGAGCAATCTTTTCCTCAGCGACCTGGAGAACCTGACTGTCAATACTTTATGAGAACCGGAGACTGTAAATTTGGAACCTCTTGCAGATTCCATCATCCTCTTGAAGCAGCAGCATCTCCAAAGGGAGTTACTCTCAGCCATATTGGCCTCCCACTTCGTCCTGTAAGTCTCAAAGCATATGCATTTGTTAGCTCTACGCCATGAGGTATGAAAAAGAACGGTCATGTAATTGTCATGACTCAACATTATAGAGATTCTTTGTTTTGAATAATGATAAGTTCCGTATAGAAACTGATTTGATTAGAAAGCTCTGTTCAGACGTAAAGTTTTTTTTTTATTGAAATTTCATTCTTGTTCCGGTATAATAATGCATCTTGTAACAATGCAGCTTATAACAAAATTGTAAGATAATACTAAGAAACATATGCAGGGCACAGCGCAATGCAGCCACTTTGCACAACATGGGATATGCAAGTTTGGACCTGACTGCAAATTTGACCACTCCATGGGCTCTTCTTCTTCACTTGGCTACAGCGCGTCAGCTTCTTCGCTCACTGACACACCTGTTGCGCCATACTCTCTTGGATCCTCATCGCTTGGCACATTAGCTACTTCATCATCAGCATCCTCGGCTGACCAAAAACCAAAAAACACAACTAGTGGTGGTGGCTTGGAAACTGTGTCTACTGGAGTTTCTTCGTCTTCTTCTGTGACCGTTGGTGTCAGCCATTCTGAGCCTGTTGAGACCAAAAATGGTGACTCGGCTAGCATTGAGGTTAAGACTTCAAGTTAAAAGAGACAGAACTCAAAGAATGTCTCTCTATTCTTCTTTGGGTATTATCTCTCTTTTCTCTCTATTTCCTTTTTCGTCAAACTTTCTTAAACTCAGGAAACATAAAAAAGGAAAAAGATTTATTTTTGGGTGGAGACAACAACAACAAGAAGCAGAAGCAGAGAGAGAGGAAACCAGCTCTAGTTTTGTATGCTGTGTCTCTCCTCTTAGGTCACTCTTACCATATGTTCATATGATTTCTTCATACGGCCATCTATCTATCTCTATCTCTTTTGTTTTCTGTTTAAACTTTTTTGAAAACAATTATTAATAAAATGGTCTCATTATTCAGGAAAAATCAGCTGACTCCTGAAAATTCTTGTTTTTTTTTATGAAAAAAAAAATGGAATGTGGGATTTGAGAGTCTGGTTTTTGTTTTTAGTGGTGTGTTTGTTTTTAAATAAAGATTAAGTTATTATGTAAATCTGTTTCAAGAGAAGATACATGTATAATGTTTTAAACTGTTGATCAACCCTTTCTCTTAAGGAAAGAAAACATTTACATGCTGAACAGAGAGGGAATACAATTTCTATTTAACTTCAGTTCACAATTTGTAAAGAAGATTTTACAAAAGACTTTTTTTTTAATTTATAAGTGCCAAATAACAATGCAAACGCAATAGTCTTGAAACAATCCGATTCTAAATGTTTTGGGAGCAGCAACGAGAAGAGGAACAGAATATATATAACAGGGTGACGTTTCTATTTTCGTTCTTCTCGTTCTACACCTGCGACTCTGATCGTGATCAAAAGAAGTGGGTAAAAGGTTTATTTTAAAAAAGGCAAAAACACTGTTAATGTGGAAGTGAAGTCAGTAATTCTCGTACTTGGTTCTTTATGTCGGTGATATAACATGTGCATGTGTGGTTTGTTCGTTGCGTCTAGTTTTACTCAAACAACTGAAAAATCATAATCATGCGTTTGGTCACTGAAACATCACAACAAAAGTTTTCAATAACCTTTAAACTACTAATCATTAAATGATTCATCTCTCCGTTACCATTCAGATAATCTACCATATTTAAAGGCTGTCTAAGAATATCGCTTTTATTTGTACGAGTTATGGTAGACTTCAGAAAATTCATGGCGATTAGTGATTCTCTTTTATATTTAAAGATATAATTACCGATTGGCGATTATAAATGCTTAACAATACTTAGTATCATCAACTCTTTGCACGTTCTTTTCTATTGATTGGGTCTGACGGTTTTATAAAATAAAGTGAAGTTTATCCAACATTGGAAATTTGGAAAGGGGGGGCTAACTGGAGGGAAACATGATGTTGTGATGTTGAGTTGGTGTAGACAAAAGTTGCAAAAGGAGGGAGACATGAAACAGTGATTGTGCAATCAAAGACCAAACAACTCATGACCAGAACACATGTCCAAAGACCAAAAACACCATCATGCTACCTCACTAAAAGTACATCTCATCACATTCCTTACTATTACTTTTAATTAAAATGCAAAATGTAATATTTTCTCCACAACCATATATCTCTTATGTCAAAATTCAAACTGCCAAATAATTGTTATAAACGCTCATAATATAACGGAGCATCAAAAGTTCAAAACTAGGGATATTTGAGTTTCTGCAACTAATCTTAGTTATTCACTTCTAGTCAAATATCCGTTTTGAGTAAGACATTTGATTTCATTATTAATATTATACACACCACACTTATAATATTACATAATGAGTGTGTTGGAAGTAGCATGGACAAAAAGTTGTGTATAATTTAACTAGTATTAACACCTTTTGCTAGTCAAAACCATGATATAAAAAATCATACAAAATAAAGAAGAAAGGAAACTAAAAACTTCATGGTAAGGTAACCTTATGGTGCATGATACATTAAGCAGAATATAATAAAGTAGATAACATATTGTCAACGACAAAAATCAAAATGACCATGGAACAACGTACGTACTAATTATATTATTACTTAAATATATAAAAAAGGCAGAAATATCAAAAAGAATGTTCTAATAGAGTGAGTAGAAGCCTGTAGTGTCTGCAACAACATCTCCAAAAGCAGCAATAGAAGAAGAAGAAGAGAAATCTTGCGGCTCCATTATCGAGTAATCTTCCATTGACATTGAAGCAGCAGTACCATAGTTAGTGAACATGGCAGAAAGATCACACGAACCAAACCCATGATGATTCATCATCAGCATATCACCATCATCGAAGTAGCTACTACTACTGAACCCTCCGTATGGCTCAGAGGCCTTGCTTGCCGGAGTTGTGAAACCTGCTCCGGTTTGGTTTTGGGTGGTGGTGGTTTCCGGAGGTGGTTTAAGGCAGTGTTGTGGGACAATGCAGTCCAAGTAACCCGAGTTAGTTCCTTCTAACGAGAAGAAGTTGTTTTCTTCATCTAGTGAAGAAGATAGCGAGCCGTTAGAAGACGAGTTTTGAGGACTATTACCAAACGTTTGAGTATCAGCGTTTTGATGACGAACAGGCGTTTTGAAAGAAGCGACAGGTGAGACGGTTTGGGGGAGAGTATGTTTAGGTTGATGATAGTTTTGATAATGAGGATGGTGATCAATGACAAACTGAGGAGAAGAGTTTGGTGAAAAAGATTGGTTATTGTAAGGAGAGACGATGAGAGAGTGGAGATTAGGGTTTGTGAGGATAGTGTGAACATCACTTGGAGTGTAAACAAAGTTAGTTCGACCTTGAGTGCCTCTCATCGAGAGAGCTGCTCTGTCGTAGGCAAGAGCAGCTTCATGAGCAGTGTCGAAAGTTCCGAGCCAGTGACGTTCTTTAGTAGTTGGATCTCTAATCTCAGCTGCGTAACGACCCCATGGACGTCTCCTGACTCCTAAGAATCTCCCTGGCTCTGCTTGCTTTGATCTCCGGCCTCTTCTCTCGCCGGTTGTGGTGGTTGTATTTTGGTGGACTAGAGCAAAACCCTTTTGAGTTTGAGATGTACCACATGGCTTATTATGATTAAGTGTTTTGGAGGTTGACATGATGATGAAGAAATGGGGTTTTGGAAATGAGGTTTCTTTTAGGGTTTTGGTTAAGAATGTGTATATAAAGTATGTTTTTTGTTGTTGTTGTTGCTTTGTTTCTGTGTAAAGATGATGAGTAGTGTGTTTGGGAATGGAAGTGAAGTGCTGTTATAAATAGAGAGACATTGAGTTTGATAGAGAGAGTTCACTTTGATTCAACTACTTTAGTAGACCATTTCTTTCTTTTTTTTGGACAAAATTAGACCATTTCTTTATATTTGTTTCTAATCTCTTTTCCGAAAATATTATATCTAGGCAGAATAGATTAAACGTTGGCACATTAGTTGGATTTTTGTGTTGCTCAAAAAAAGATTGAATTTTTATAAGATTTTTAATCACTTAAAATAATCAAAACCGGAATTAAACAGCTTATTTGACTGCTTTTTAATATGTTCTCTGGCTTTTACTATTCACCGGTTAAGAGTCTTAGTTTTTATGTATGTAGTGTATATATGTATGTATCATAATGTATGCATGGCTACCTATGAAATGCCTAAGAAGGAAGCAAAAAATCATTGGAACTACTGCAAACCCGGGAATGTCACAGTAATCTTGATAAACAAGAAAATATATAGCTGGATGATTAAATTTTGGGTAAAACTGGATATTATATTTGTGATGTATATACTGCATCATTCTATTTAAATATTTTATTCCAATGAGGTTCAACCTAATTATTAATCAACTCAAATAACCTGCTTAGTGGTCACGTGCAATATGCATTATAACCTACATATCACAGCCTAAAGGTCAAGGGTCTACGAAAAAAAATAATCGACTTTTCACAAAGATTACATCCCCTACCAAATTAATATATACTAGGATAACACATTTGCCTTGCGCATGATGAATATATAATTAAAATATAAAATTTTAGTACTGACAAATTAAAATTTATATATGATTATTTTTCTATGTATTTGAAATTTTGGAGTTTTCATATAATTATCTATACGTAGGATCAGAAAAAAACTGTAATTAGAACTCTAAATCAAAACTTAGAATTTAATGGGTCCGGTTCATATATTTTTTCACATTTCAGTGTTCGAGTGATTGAAAATAAACAGAGTGTCACAGAGCTTAATTGGTAGAGCATTATCAAGTTTCCTAATACTTTTTTTAAGAAGCTGTTGGTAGAATTTTCCATTAGAATATATAAAGTTTCAAAAATAATTTAATATAATTTTTTTATTTATCTAATAATATCAGAAATTATATTTTTAAAAACCTTTTTTAATAAAAAATAATTTTACAAAAAATTAAGTTAACTTTTAAATTATAATTATGTTTAAAATAATATTATTTATTCATACGATATGAGATATATATATATATATATTAACATAAACATCTATTAAAATAAAATTATTTATTCATATGATTTTATAATCATTGTAACTATTATAAAAGAAATTAGACCTTTATCACAAAAGTTTATGTGAGATTTTTGGTAGTTTTAGTAAATTATACTCGTTTAAAAAATTTCAAAATAGAACATATATAAAAAATCTAAATTTTTATTATATGATTAGTGTAGTTGTGTAATTTATTTTAATAATAAAAATTAAACAAAAATGATATAAAGTATACATATTGTTAACAAATCTTTATTATTTAAAATCATTAATAGTCATATATATCTTAATCACATTAGGTAATTCCGTATGTTTTATTTAAGAAAATAATATATAGGAGATTTAGTTTGATATGTGATGTTAGGAGTTTCAAGGCTCCTAAGACAAATGATGTAGTATAAAAGATTGTCGAACCAGTTCTGAGAGAATTAAAAGCACCGAGAATGCAAGTACTAGCTTAATCTAAGTGCGATCATGTGGTTGATTGGTTTTGAATTACAACTAATATTGAAAAGAGGTAAAGAATGCAACAACAGAATAAACTTTAACAATTAAGAGACGGGAGAATCCCTGGGCATTGGGAATAATGACCTTGGATGATCAGTTTTCGAACTAAGAGTGGCAAGCGATCAATTAATCTATCTACCTTAGGCCTAGACACAATTCTAAACAAACTCTATGTCTAGATGAATGTTCATTTGCAAACACAATTCAAACATCAAACTTCTTCGGTTGAATATCATGAAAGCAATCATTAAGAGCAAGTCTATTAGCCATCTTAACACCTTTAACAACAAGTATCCTTGGCAAAGGATGTTAAAAGCTTAGAAGAGTTGACTCAGACATTTCATCGAACACTTTGTGAGTGGGAAATGTCTAAAGATCAACTCTTGAGTGGCCAACTCAAGAGAAGCATTATGATCACTCAACAAACAAGGAATAGGAGAAATCTAAACTAAACACTCTCATTCTAGACTAATCATCCTTAGTCTCCCTAGCCCATGGATTCAAGGGTGAATTACTCACTACACATCATTACTACTCTTAAACTCATTTTTGATTCAAGTTTTATCATGTAGAAGATGAGATAGATAAATAAAAACAATGAACAATGAAATCAATGATCTTAAAGATGAACTTTCCAATAGGTTTTCAAGTGTTTTTCTTCAAGAACAAAAGATAAGTCCAAATGGTGGCTTACAGAATACTTAAAATTAGGTTTTTCCAACTCAAAATAAAATAAACGAAATTGCAAAAAGGTCCCTGAAACTCAAGTTTTCGTCACACATAACACGAGCAGCGACCTGGCCGTGTCGCTCCCAGAGGTCGCTCCAGGTGCTGGAGCGGCTTGGCCAGGTCGCTCCCGGACGTCGCTCCCAAGGCTGATATAACGAGAAGGTGCGAACGGCCATCAAGTGTCGCTCCATTTGTTGCTCCGGACGCTGGAGCGGCTTAGCGTGNACCAATACTCTCTCCAAACTCCTCTTTTTTTGGATTCCAAACTCCACAAAACCACTTCCAAGGCTCCAAGGGTAGTCTCATCACCTGATAAATGCAAATGAATGCAAAATGCAACCTAAATGCACCTAAACTAAATCTATATGCTCAACATGAACAAAGAATGCAAGGTTAAGACTAAGTAAATATGGAACATATCAATATGTTATTTAGTTTGATATGTCTTATATGAAACCAAAAGACTATGTTTTAAAACTATACTTTATATGAGGTGTTTTAGAATCCTTCTAAATTGAAATAGAAAGCATAGAGAGGTGTCACGTATGATGAAGTTATTTTTTACTTAATATAAACTTAAGGTTACAACTTTTCAAATGTTTCTCAATTAATATATAAGGGATATATCGTTATAACTTATATAGTTATATGTATTAGATGACGTGCATTGCTAATTACAATTAGGGTGGTTAATAAATTCTTATGTACTGCCGTATAGGTTCATGATTATTATTTGCAAACAATTTTTTTATTTAACAAAAATAATTTAATTTAAAACCAGTAAGCTCTAAATTTCGCCCAAGACGTTTCAATGTGATTTTTTTTAACATCCAATAAACAAGCGACATGAAAACTTCGAGTTTATAATTTTATTTGGTTTAGTTTGGTTAAATAAGTATTAATCTAAGTTTATTGTAGAAGCCCCTGATCAAATCACATGGTTACCATTTTCTCAACAAAAAAATCACATGGTTACCCGCATTTTAAGCGGAAATAGAAATGAGAATAGGTATTTTGTCATCTAGTAATGAACTTTTTCAATGGGAGTGGTTAATGAAAGACAAAGATGAACCAGAGACAAATTAAAATGCTTACAAAGTACGTATAATTTGGTTTTTAGTTTAATATCTCAGCGGACAATTTTGTATTGCTTTCCTTGTATGCAACACACACAGAAGTCAACAACAATCTTAGTCTCTTTGTGTTTGTAATTTTCTAGGATCACATATATATCACACACGATCTTCGTGTATTTATTTGTCATATGTGATTGCATTTTAGAAATTAATGTATTATCCGACAAATAGATATGTATGATGAAATCAAGAAATTGTCATAGTCAACTATAACACGACTTTAACTTAAGAGTAGGAGAAAGTCAAAAACTAGTTAATCATTCAAAATGACTGAGCCCTAACATTAACCTTTGGTTTAGGGCTCAGTCATTGATTAGCAATTCCAAGCTGAAAAGAACTAGAAATATAAAATAATTTTTTTACCAAAAATATTATTAATAATGGGTAATGATATCAAATATATAAAAGTCGATATGGTATCTATTGGACTAGCTTACATATTTTTTTTGAGGAATACTATCTTAAATATTTGGTAAGTATTAAACCACAATGTGTGGACTAATTCTTTGAAGATTAATCTAAATCTTTTCATGAGCATGAGATATCCCAAGATTGAATTTTTTTTTTGGTAAGTATCGATTGTCTTTAGTAGATGTTCGACGGTATTCAACGGTGTGTTTTGCTAATTATATGTATAAGCTACACTTTAGGTGTGAAGATTATTTTGATTTATATAATAACCAATCAAATTAATACACGGTTCCGGTTTATGATTTTTTAGCATGTGTTAGTGAAAGGTTAGTCAAAGAAAAATAGCTAATCATTGGGCAGCATGAATCAATGTTCCGAAACTACGCCTATAAATTACAACCCTGAAATCGAATGTCAAACATAGGCTTAAGGAACTTACATCGCTTGCACTCCCTAGGTACATTGGCCCTTACCATATTCTTCTAATAACTGCGATGTTATTTCGATTTTTTTTTAAGTTATGACTTCCAAATAATTGCATATATGTTATTCTCTCGGATTGAATGTGTTTATGAAATTTTCTAAGATTGAAAACATAACTACAAAAATATATTTGGATTACTAAAGACAAATATACTATAGCAATTTAATAATTAAAACAATTAGTTTAGTACAGTATTCTATGCATTTACCAAACTACTAATGGGACCCGCTTACAGAAAAAGAATTGTTAGTCAAATGGGAAGTCCCGAAAGCTCGAAACTTCAAAAGGAATTGTAAAGAAAAGTTGGATCAAAACTGCCCAACACGAGCAACAAGG